AAGAAAGAAAGGAAAGGAAGGAAGGAAGAAAGGAGAAGGAAGAAAAGTGGGAAGGGGTGGGAGGGAGGAAGGAAGGAAGAAGGAAGGAGAAGCAAGAAAGAAGGAGGGAGGGAGGAAGAAAGGAAGGAAGGAAAGAAGGAAGGAGAAAGGGAAGAAAGAAAGGGAAGGAAGGAAGGAAGGAAGGAGAAGGAAGAAAAGGGGGAAGGGGTGGGAGGGAGGAAGGGAGGAAGAAGGAAGGAGAAAGGCAAGAAAGGAGGGAGGGAGGAAGAAAGGAAGGAAAGAAAGAAAGAAGGAAGGAGAAAAGCAAGAAAGAAAGGGAAGGAAGGAAACAGTGTGAAGGGGTGGGAGGGAGGAAGGAAAGAAAGAAGGAGGGAGGGAGGAAGGAAGGAAGGAAGGAAGGGGGTCCACCTCTCCTCCAAAGCTCCAGAAGGCAAGACAAGAAACAACGGATGAAAACTCATCCAGGAGAGAAGCAACCTGGAATTAAGGAGGAACTTCCTCACGGTGAAGACAATTCACCAGGGGAACTCCTTGCCACCAGACGTGCAATAGGTGCTCCATCCCTGGAGGCCTTCAAGAAAAGATTGTCCCGCATGAACTCATCCGACAATTAAAAACATTGTCCCCGAGGGCCAGGCCTTCTGAGTTCTCTCCCCACCCCACCCCACCCCACCCCACCCATGATCCTTCACCTCCGACGCTCCCCATGTTATTGAGATGTCTTCTGAATCCCGTCTCCTCCTCCTCCTCCTCACCACGCCAGGTTCGAGAAAGGACGCATCTACACCTACATCGGCGAAGTGGTGGTCTCCGTGAATCCGTACAAACCCCTCTCGCTCTACGGGAAGGAGATGATCGAACATTACCGGGGCCGGGAACTCTACGAGAGGCCGCCTCACCTTTACGCCGTGGCCGACGCGGCCTACAAAGCCATGAAGAGGCGGGCCATGGACACCTGCATTGTCATCTCAGGTAGGCTCTCCCATCGCTCCCTTTCTATATTCCCCCCCAAAGAAGGCCAATGGTGGGATACAGCCGGTCCGCACCGGTTCGGCAGAACCGGGAGCTAAATTTTTGCTGTGTTCGGAGAACCGGCTTAACGCACGGTGCTTCCGGAGGTCCAATCTAGGACTCGGAGGCCTGGAGAAGGCCGCCCAGGCCTAGAACAGCCTGCCGGAAGTGCGTGGATGCCACTTCCGGAAGTGCGTTCTAGGCCTCGGAGGCCCGGAGGAGGCCTTCCAGGCTTAGAACGGCCCACCAGAAGTGCGTGGATGCCACTTCCGGAAGTCTGTTCTAGGCCTCGGAGGCCCGGAGGAGGCCTTCCAGGCTTAGAACGGCCCACCGGAAGTGCATGGATGCCACTTCCGGAAGTCTGTTCTAGGCCTCGGAGGCCCGGAGGAGGCCTTCCAGGCTTAGAACGGCCCACCAGAAATGCATGGATGCCACTTCCGGAAGTCTGTTCTAGGCCTCGGAGGCCTGGAGGAGGCCTCCCAGGCCTAGAACAGCCTGCCGGAAGTGTATGGATGCCACGTCCGGAAGTCCGTTCTAGGCCTCGGAGGCCCGGAGGAGGCCTTTTCCAGGTTTAGAACGGCCCGCTGGAAGTGCGTGGATGCCACCTCCGGAAGTTATAAGTAACTAGCAAGCTCAGAAAGCACCAAGAATCCCACAGTCCCCCTCCCCTCCTCCTCCTCCTTCTCTCCCTTCCAGCACTGATGATGTTCCCTAGTTGGGTCATGTAACATCAGCAAGAAAGCCACCAAGCTGAGAGAGAGCATAAAGGACCCCACAGTTGTTCTCCTCCTCCTCCTCCTCCTCCTTCAAACCCTCCTCCCTTCCAGCACTGATGAGGTTCCCTAGCTTGGTCATGAAACGTCTGCAAGGAAACCCCCCAGCTCAGTGGCCACCCAGGACCCCATAATCCAGTGGTTCTCAACCTTTTTAATGCCGCGACCCCAACCGGTCGTAAGTCAAGGACTAAACCGGTCGTAAGTCAAGGACTAAACCGGTCGTAAGTCGAGGACTAAACCGGTCATAAGTCGAGGACTACCCAACCGGTCGTAAGTCGAGGACTTTCCCTGCCCGGGAGCACTGCGCATGCGTGGTTCCGCCCCCTGCGCCGGCCGAGGCGTAGCTGGCAAGCGGCAGAGACGGAGCAGGCCGACCACCAGCTGGCCCAGCCCAAGGGAGGTAAGGCAGCCGCCGGAAAAGGGGGAAAAAATGGCGGACAAAAAAAATGGCGGACAGCCTTGCTTGGCGACCCCCGTGGAATGGTCGATCGACCCCAAATGGGGTCCCGACCCACAGGTTGAGAACCACTGCCATAATCCACCCATCAATCCCAAAACCCAGCTCCCTTACGCATACTCCACAATGCTGGGAAGGGGGGAAGGAAAGAGTAGGAGAGGACAACTGTGCCGGAAGGTGGGTGGACTCCGAGTGGTGATGGGGACACCCGGTGAGAAGACGTGGCCACGCTGGAGATCTGATCGTCCTGGAGAAAGATCTCTCCGTGCGGTGGAGGAGAACTTGCATCCACTGGAACGTCACAGGATCGATCCAGGCCGCCGAGTGGGAGCCGAAGCAGAACACGCAAACGTGCAGACACACAAACACACAAGCGCACCCCGCCGCCCATCTCACCAAGAGTCAGTCGTCCTGGCTGACTGACGATCGACTTCGCCGATCGAAAAATCGGTCCCTTGCTTCTAATCTCGGTCTCTTTTAGGAGAAAGCGGGGCCGGGAAAACGGAAGCCAGCAAGTATATCATGCAGTACATCGCTGCCATCACCAATCCGAGCCAGAGGGCTGAAGTGGAAAGGTAAGCCAGTCCCGGGAGTCCCCGACTTACGACTGTTTTGTTTAGCGACCGTCCGAAGTAACAGAGGCGCTGAACAAAAGGGAGTGAGGACCACTTTTCACAGCATTCCCGATCATGACGTGATCAAAATTCAGACACTGGGCAACTGACTCGTATTTATGACGGTCGCAGCGTCCAGGGGTCACATGATCAAAATTCAGTCGCTCGGTAACCGACTCGTATTTATGACGGTCGCAGCGTCCTTGGGGTCAGGTGATTAAAATTCAGATGCTCGGCAACAGACTCGCATTTATGACGGTCGCAGCGTCCAGGGGTCACATGATCAAAATTCAGTCGCTCGGTAACCGACTCGTATTTATGACGGTCGCAGCGTCCTTGGGGTCAGGTGATTAAAATTCAGATGCTCGGCAACTGACTCGCATTTATGACGGTCGCAGCGTCCCGAGGTCACGTGATCAAAATTCAGACACTGGGCAACCAACTCGCATTTATGACGGTCGCAGCGTCCAGAGGTCACATGATCAAAATTCAGTCGCTTGGCAACCGACTCGTATTTACGACGGTTGCAGCATCCCGGGGTCACGTGATCAAAATTCAGACGCTCGGCAACCGACTCGTATTTATGACGGTCGCAGTGTCCTGGAGTCACGTGATCAAAATCCAGACATTGGGCAACCAACTCGCATTTATGACGGTCGCAGCGTCCCAAGGTCACGAGATCAAAATTCAGACGCTGGGCAACCGACTCATATTTACGACGGGTCGCAGCGTCCGCAGGTCACGTGATCCCCTTTTGCGACCTTCTGACAAGCTGGGTGGACTGTGAGTTTCTTAATAGCTGCAGGGATTCACTTAACAACGGTGGGAAGAGAGGTTGTAAAACGGGGCAAAACTCACTTAACGAACGTCTCACTTTGCAAGGAAATTTTGGACTCCATTTGCGGTCGTAAGGCAAAGACTAGCTGTATAGAAGTAATAGCCATCCCTCCATCCCTCTGTGTCTCAACTTTGGCAATTTTAAGACTGTGGACTTCCATTCCCAGAATCCCCCAGCCGGCACGCTTTAAGAGGGGAGGACTTCCACTCCCAGAATCCCCCAAACTATATGCTTTAAGACTGGAGGACTTCAACTCCCAGAATCCTCCAGACTATATGCTTTAAGAGGGGAGGACTTCAACTCCCAGAATCCTCCAGACTATATGCTTTAAGAGGGGAGGACTTCAACTCCCAGAATCCCCCAAACTATATGCTTTAAGAATGGAGGACTTCAACTCCCAGAATCCTCCAGACTATATGCTTTAAGAGGGGAGGCCTTCAACTCCCAGAATCCTCCAGACTATATGCTTTAAGAGGGGAGGACTTCAACTCCCAGAATCCCCCAAACTATATGCTTTAAGAGTGGAGGACTTCAACTCCCAGAATCCTCCAGACTATATGCTTTAAGAAGGGAGGACTTCAACTTATTTATTTATTTTATTTTCATAATTTATATGCTG